TCAGGAACATAACACCCTATTTCTAACATCCTTCACAATGAGCTTTCACACATACATGAAATGACAGATAACACAAAGAAATGGTCGAATACAATAGTTTACAACATTAACATGCTTTTGTTATACAGTTGAGAGAGAGAGAGAGAGAGAGAGAGAGAGAGAGAGAGAGAGAGAGAGAGAGAGAGAGAGACATACTTGCAGAAGGTAGCACACCAGGGAATATCCGGCCATACTTTCAACAAAATTCCTCTGCGGAAAAAATAGAAAGAAAGTTCAATCCAAGCCTCTTTATTCACTAAGAACGTTAGGTTTCACTGAAACTAACTATAACTAACTAAATGTAACCAGGTGGCATGATAAAATTGGCTCTGAGCTGTTGCACTTCTTGGATCTGCACATTTTTTCCCACATGTGTGAACTTTTTTCTTTAAATTCATTTAGATGACCAAAAAATTGGTTGGGTTATTTAACTTGATATGAGACTCAGTAATCTGGTACTTGAAAAAGAATTGAGAATACCTAAGATTTAATTTATATACAGACCATGATCAAAAACCTATTTCAACATTTGGCCACATCATGGCGTCTGAAGTTCTTTTCTGTCAAGACTAATCAAAATCTGACAGAATAGGAGCAGATGCAGAGACTTATCCACAACTTACATATGAAAATAGACCATCAACCCAAACTCATAAAAGTGATGCATCTCATCAATATCAAATAAGCCGTTATTAGTATGTCAAAAGCTGTACATGAGTCATCCAGAAGTAATGATAAAGCTTTTTAGAATGGACAGGGTAAAGGCATGTATATGGCAAAAACTATGAAAAGAATGCATGGCTTCAGATACTGCCAAAAGAGCCTCAAACAGATATACATTTCCTGTAAGTCAGGTAATTGAACAAATGACATTACAAGAGCCACTACAATTTGAGACCATATGACATGCTCTAGAGATTAAATATCTACAGTTTATAGGTAAAAAGGGCATTCAAATGATGCCTTAATGTGAATTACATTTCTTATTTTCATCATAAATGCTATGCTTCAGCAACCAATTGATCCAAGTCCTACATTGTCATCTAAGGTACAAACAACCTGAATCTGGACAACTCTCTCTTCTCAGGACCTTTCAGAATCTATGGTCAAATAATTAAATGCTACTTTATTTGTTGAAGAACAGCATAGTGACCATGCTTAATATAAAGATCTTTTCACCCACAGATATACCATCATTTCACTTCTGGAGTTGCGAACAAATAACCATAATAAGAGAGGAGAGAGAGTGATTAAAGGCAATTCTTAAAGTTCACAATTCCACTGAGAGTTTCCAAATTCTTCCTCTATCAGTACTTCTAAATTTTAAAATAAATAAAATAAGAAATGCAGCAGGCATTCCCCCATTGCAATAGATTGCAATGAATCATGATGAGGATAAAGCTGAGTTAATCAGAAGACATTTTTAAAGCAACCTGCTTCATCGGGTTGGAGATTACCTGGGCAAGTTTAAAACTTGGAGAATTTTCTTGATACTTAGCAATAAAGAAGTCTCGCAAGCTCGTGATGTCGGGATATCTACTTTTGATGGAATGAAGTGAAGCCTATAATACAACAAAGGACATTATGAAAGAGGTGGTGAAGTTTTGAAATTATTAATTCACTTGCACAAGGGTACAGGATTACCGTATCTGGAATTGTTTCAATGAGAGCTGTGTAGGAAGAAGTAACTAAGACTTCATAAGGGCGCAACCAGAGGGGAAGACCAGCTTCTTGGAATATATCTGCCATCAAATCCAATGATTATAGTCTTCAACTAGTTTTGATGAGTGGGTTCAACTACTGTGAAACAAAATGCAACAACGAAATGATTTGGATAAATTTGGAAACATACATAACAAGCATTAATCAACTACTATTGCCAACTAGTCTAATTTATGTCTAATGTGGGACCACTAGAGATAATTAATTGAACAAATATGAAAGTATTGAGGTTGATGGAAATAATAGTGGTTCATATGAACGAAAATATCAATGAACATATCAACATTGGTTGAACAGAAACGACAGATTTGGTTATGTTTTTTTTTTTTTTTTTTTAGAAGAAACGAAATTTATTGAAGCAAAGGCAAAAACACAGATTTGGTTATGTTAAATCACTCAATTAACACATCAGTTGAACTATTTCATATAATAACATATCTATAATATGGCTGGACCTCAACTGGCCTTTTATAGCCGATTGAGTTCCATAACTACCTATTTGGATCCCACTCCAACAGCTATTTTTCCCCTCTTAGTATCTTGTTCTATTTGAAGTGTTTAAAAAGAAAATAAATTGGGTTTAGGAGTTCTATGTGAAATCGGACAGTGTGATCTCTGTCTTAAGCCCATCCCAAAAATCTGTGGTAGCCAACTCAATTTAATAAGCAGTCAAAACAAAGGGGTAACTCTCATCCTTGGTTTACACAACACAAACTAAGAGCATTTCCTGAAACACTGGGTGCCCAGTAGAGAGTTACATAATCAAACATATTGGGATGGTTGGTCCTCAACCTGGAATATCTGAGCAGGAGCTAACTCATTCATTATAATGCAGTTGAGGAGACATGAAATCTGAATTGACACTAAAGAAAGAAAGAAAAAATTGCCAATCTGAGAATACTTAAAAAGATACTCCATGTTCTTGTAGGGTGAACTGAAGCACTATTGATGTGCTACGAGCTAAGAAGCACGGACACGGATACGGATACAGTGATATGACACGACACGATACGGGGATACGGTAAATTTTCAACAATTAGGATACGATACGTCATGGATACGGTTATTATAAATATATATTAATAAATATATATAACTTAAAATATATTTTAAATAGATTATAAATTATAAATTATAAATATAGTGTAGCATTTTGGACTTTCTTTTCTGATTCTTTATATTTTTAGGCATCTATAGCTTTTTTCACCCAAATATATCATTACCCAAAGCCCATTTGTTTAAGACCCAAACCCATAAACAGATCTATGAAAAAATATATATATACATATATATGTTACAAATCCTGTTTTAGCAAACGACGTCGTCACTTGAGATCAGTCTGACATCTTCTTCTTCTCTCCCTCTCTGTCTCTCTGTCTCTCTCCCCCTGCAGTCTGACATCTTCTTCTTCTCTCTCTCTCCCTCCCTCTCTACCTCCCTCCAGTCTGATATCTTCTTCTTCTTCTTCCCCCTCCCTCCCTCTTCACACGCAGCACCCAGGGGCTCCTCAACGGCAAACTTCGCCCGGAGGTTCGTATCCGAAAAGTCAGATACTCGTGTCTGGAATGTCGGATACTCGTATCCGTTAGTCAAGTGACGTATCCGTTGACTGCGATACGTATCCAATGCGTATCAGACCATATCCGAAGCGTATCGTATCCAAACGAGTATCCGATACGGGATACGCCACTAAATTGGCGTATCCATGCTTCTTAGGCTACGAGAGTACAGATCAACAAAATATGGAAGAGAAACTGGAGTCAAAGTGAAAATAGGGTGGTACGAGAAGTATCTGAGTAATATCTGTTTATCATATAAATTCAATGTGAAAGTGAAGGAGAAACTGTTAAAATATTGCGTTTTTTTATTATGCTACTGGGTACCTGTGTTGTCTCAGATAGTAGTATCTGCGTCATAACTGTTTATCATATAAATTCATCGTAAAAGAGCTGATTTCATCAAACCGTAAGCCTACTCCCTAAACTCTTACTCTCTAATCTATCTTACTCCTCTATCTAACCTAGCCTTAGATTAACAAACTCTACCTGGAAGCAGAAACAAATCAATCCAGAAAGTTGTCCAGAAATTTGTAAACAAAAGAAAGGAAAAAAGCATACAATTATGTGAAGGTGAAATCAGCATGACATTATCATCACGGTGACATGGTTTTTTGTACTGAGTTTTATGGTGATCTTTTGGAATTTGAAAAATCATACAATGCGTTTTTCTAATCTTAACCTAATTTTGCACCCCGTTTTTCAGTTGATTTTCTTGGCATGAACTAGACCTAGAGGTGACAACTAGCTTTCTTCAAGTGGATTTCGACTGATTCTCCACAAACAACTCCAAGAGAAAGAAACAGGAGACAGCTTCTTTATCATCACCTAGTCATAGTGCAACACAAGTAACAAAGAGGACACTCAGAAAGGCACTTTATCTAGGCGCACTGTGCAGTTCAATGTTTCTACAATGCATCTGTTTTCCTAATAGGTTTAAAGAAAGTATATTGTTTGACCTAATCAAACCAAAGATTGAGCAGTAATAGAGGGGGAGAGAGAGAGAACTACCATCCACAAAACAAAACAAAACAAAAATACTTAGAAAAAGGACACCTACCATAAAAGTGAGAAATAAGTTGCACAGCAAGATGCTCCTGCCTACAATCATCACCACTCTTCACAATAACCTGCACAAAGTACAGATGAAGCTAAATACAATATGATACCTTACACTTATACAACTGATAGAATGGCAGAGAATGTACACAAAACAAAAAAACCAAGGCCATTAAAACTTAATAATTACATAGCTAAAACATAAAACACCTCAAGCATTCATGAAAAGGAAATGGCAAGTGACCAAAAGCCAACCACAACTATAATTTCCACCCATTCAAAGGGTGACTAAGTTAACATACATTACTGTTTTATTTCCAAACAGCCAAAGCTTTTCATGTCCACTAGTAGTCCAATGTGGAATTGAATCACTTGTTCCAAAAGTCCTGTGATCTAAACTCTCATTCCCAATCCCCAAGTTTGCAAGGTATACAGTGGGGCTGCAACCATATGCTTCTCTCTCGAGTCATTTACAGCTGCACTACTCTAAAATCCCATTAAATCATTTTAAATTCAAAAAGTTTGGTATTAAAAAAGATCAACATGCCGCCAAAAAATCCAAAAAGACAATAATAGTTTTGTCTTAACCATCTTGATCAGAAAAACCAGAAGATAAATTTAAGAACGGTGTAATTTGTCAAAATCATGTTTCAACGTAAACTCATTCAAGTGAGAGGGGTAGTCATTGAATTTCCAATCTCCCTCAACTTTACCAGAAATCTTGTTCATGAATGAAACCTTTCCTTCACTATCTTGATGAGACTTTAAGTTAGTAATGCACACTCAGAATAACATATCACATGAGCATTTTTTTTTTTTCTATAAGGCACTCCCTTGCATGCATATATCAAGCTTCCACTACCAAAAACATGATTAAGACATGTTCACTGTGATTGAAAGCATACAAACACCACACACAGAGAGAAGGGAGAGAGAGAGAAGCAGGTTAATACTCACAGAGCGCAAGTCCCAACCAGGTAGTTTTCCATGAACTGAAGCTTTGCGTATCCTCTCCTTCTTTACCTCCCAAAGTTCGCCAGACAAGGCGTTGCTGGCCTCGGGAGTACTGCCATTAGCCTGGTGAAAAATGTGAATGTCGTCAGACAATAAAATTCAGCATCTCCATGAGATAACTTCTAACACAATTTCAATTTTCATGAATTTTCACCACTAGCCGTGCATCTGACGAATCCTGACCAGCCCCTTTCAGAGGGAGTCCAGGAGGAGCTTCTCCTTTCGCTGCAGCAGCCTGAAGAAAGTAAAATTTAACGAACAAGGCAAGAAATTAGAAAGTAAGTTCAAGATTAAAATAATAATATCCATACACCATAAAAAGAAAATGCAAATTATACAGATACAGAAGTTATTTCAAAAGCACCATTTTGTCATTTGTTTAACTCGAGGCTTCTTCAACCAAAAAAATAAAATAATAACTCGAGGCTTCAATACCATTACTTTTAATCTGTGCATAGAAAGTATCTAGATTCAGGCTAGCATATTACTGATTTTAAAGATTATGCTTGTTCTTCAATAATGTAGGATTTGTTAGCAGCTGTGAAGCAAGATTAGAATTCTTCGTTTAGTGAGCATGTCCTATTTTACATCCCTTTGATTTGTACTTTCTTGTTTTTACTTCTTTCCAAGATTGTGGATTCCTTATCCACTCTTTGTAATTAGCTTTCCTACTTTAATAAAATCATGTTTCTTTTCCACACAAAAAACGACAATAGAACTTTCATGCTACAGCAATATCAATTTATGGGTTAAGAAATTGACATGATTTGTTCTCTAATAAAACTTATATAATAAAAAAAAAGAGTTTCTCAGTCGTTCAAATCAAATGCAGATGACTAAATACATAGTGGGTAGTCATCCCTTACTTCAGCACCTCATTAAAAAATCGGTAATGTTCAGACAATCTACAAGGCTACACATTCAGACAAGACAATGATTAAAATACACATTTTCAATATACAAAATAGCAGACTGACTGGCAAGAGAGCATTGCCCCTTAGAAAATGACTATATGTATGTGTTTGTGCATGTGTACATATATTCTTATCGGTCCATTGATATTGGGAAATGGAGAAACTAGAAAAGTCCCTCTAGAAACAATTCCATCAACATTGGAAGATAACTTACAAAAAGCAACAAGAATAAATTACTTGTTTTCATTCAGAAATCAATAAATGACAAATTAACATCAATAAGTGCTGATGACCAAACAAAGCCTACCTTTACTTCCTCTATAGCCACTGTACTTGGAACACGACGATGTTCCTTCCGTCGAGGGGGTCCCTGATCCTCAATGTCCTCCATTCTAACACCAGGATCTGCAGTTAGCACTACCCTTACCCACTCCAAATCACTCCCTTGCGCTACTTTTGATGCAGTTACAGCCTCTCCACGTTGACAACTCCCTGATATATTCTCTGCTGTCACTGTCTGGCCATGCAATTTCTTCTCCACAGATATTTTAACAGTAACAAATTTCACTTTTGCCTCTGACGTATGTGACATTGCCTGGTCAATTGCTTGAGCAGTCGAGCTCGACATCCTATCATTACTATTACGATAGACCTCCTGGACAGTCCACAATGGATATGCCCAGGGAGGTGGTCTTGTCAGAAGTGCATCCCCATTTGCTAAAGGAATTCCTCCTCGAGAAAGCTTTTGAGAACCAGATATGTCCTTTGGATTGCTTAAATAAGTTTTCACAAAATAAAATTAAAAAAACAAAAGAAATGAAATGTCTCAGTTTCAAACAGATACAAGGACCCCTGCTTCCATTATCTAGCAATGAAACTTGTTTCAATAAGGGGAAAAACTATATCATAGTCAAATGCACAAATTAAGCAACTGTAAGCGTACCCTGGAATTTCACTTTTCAAGACTTCAACACAGATTAGATAAGGTGCCTTTTCCCTAGAATTCAAAAGAACAGCTTCATCTTCCGGAATATAAACCACGCGATACATCCCCTTCCCCATTGGAAAGCAAACTCCTAACATTATAATCAGCAATATTAAATTAAAGTATGGAGATAACTGTTGATATAAATGCCATAAATGTCATAACTTTATATCGACAATACATAGAAAAACTGCAGAATATGATAACTGAAAGGGTAAAATACAATTCAGAACAGTAGGTGACAGAATCCCTCAATTTTTTTATGCATTGGTTGTATATGCACATGCATTATCTGTGCAATCAAATTTCATACCTTGAAAAGAAATCCAATAAATATGATTTAGTTTAAAAGAGGCTGAATCTTAACTAGGATCGTCAAGTACAAAAAGGAATTTTCACTTTCAAGCTTTGATGAAAAGGAAACTGAATATTATTGCAAAATGACAATAAAATAAAATAAAAAGAAAGGTGGCCAAGATGGCCACAAAAGAAAACTAAACAGCAAAATAGCAGTTAGACCAAGCAACACGAAAAACTTCTAGCAAAAGAACAAAAACTTAAAATAAACTTTTGACAGGAAAGCGAGCAGATGGCTGCATTCCAATCCAGCCAAATGCTCCTAAAGGACATATCTATAAAGTCTGTAGAAGTCGAAGCCCATAGTGAGAAGCAACATATATGTGCCCCAGACCTTGTTAATAGTCCATTTTTTAAGTTCAAAACAACATTAATAGAAAAGAAAAAAATATTTATACGTGTTTTAGAGTTATTGAGGGGTGAGAGGAGGGGAAAGATGAAAAACAGTTTTGGAGGAACTGGAAATGAAATAACAAAATAAAATTTTGAGGAATAAAACAAAATTCTATCTATAAACCGCAGAAGAGAATCAAAAAGATCAGTTATAACTTATATACTACATGATTCTCAGACAAAAGGATGCAATGCCAGATATTGCAAACTGACATACAGAGCACATTTTGCAAACCATTTCCAATATCTTGGAAACAATATATATATCGAGAACCAATATCTTGATAAGTAGTGTACAATAAGTTTTTAAAATGGGTCAGAAATCATATACATAGAAGCAGGCAAAACATTTCTGACATTTTTAGAACCTAAATTTCTGCAATCTTCTCAATTCCCAAAAAATACTTTGGTAAATATAACACAGAGTGCCCTGAAAAGCATTTGTCTTCAGAATATAAGATGTAACTCGAGAAACCATTTCACATGAGAATATTGACTAAAGAAATACCTCCACTATTTTGAGCCTCATCAATGTGCAAATTGATCTCTGCAAGTGACTAGAAATGCAAGAATAACAAACGCATGTCAGAAAAGAAAAAAGAAACATGCACATGTATTTATGATATTGAAAAAAAACTTATGTTAGATTACTTGTTTTAGGTTAGTTAGGTTCCATTTAAAATTTTCACTTTTTTAGCATTTAGACCAATGGTCTAGACTGGACTTATCATTTTTCATATATTGATTACAATTTTAGATCAAATTACATATTAGAAAACAAAAAGAATCTATAGAAAAATAAAAATAAAAACTGGTTTCTGAACAAAAAGTCTACGGCTACAAAGTAATATCCAGCTGTGGATAAGAGGTCCAACCATCTAGACAAGTTGACCTTTTACTTCTATCATAAATTACTAATAAATTTACAAGAGTTAATGAAGAGTTGATTAAATTATGGATTATAGTGATAATTTTTTAATGAATTTTGTGAATATGAAAACCTGAAGAACCTAACTGTATCTAAATCTACGTACATAGACACACAGATACACAAGGGGCATGCTAAACTGGCATCAGCATAAAACTAGCAAGTTTATACAGCTTAATAACATTTTTATAGCAGTTCTTTTCAGCCACACTGACAGCTAGATCTAGTGCTTTAATAATGCACACAATGTTACCAAATTCAAGCTGACATGATATAAGCAGCCATTCCATCAACAAGACTCAATTTCTACTTTTAATATCAAATTTATAAGAAAATTTTGTTAGGATTTTGGCTCGTCAAATATGTCCTAGTTGGTTTAGGATTGTTTTAGGAAAATTAGTGGTATACCGATTCTTGTTCTAGAGGGATTAGGAAAGAATTTCAGTTTTCCTTATTCAATTTAGGTTTGGATTTCTAGAAGTCTATTTGGATTTGGATAAGTGTAATTTCCTAATCCACTGAAATAGGAATTCAATCAGCTTGGGACATGTAAGCCAACTCTATATCTATAAATAGGTGCAGCAAGGCTTATTTTAGGGGGGGGAAAACAGCCAGAGACAGCCGAGAGTTTTGAGATTAGTTCTAGGGTTGCAAAAGTTCTGTAATCTCTATTATTAGTTCTATAATCTCTATTATTAATCAAAGGAGAGAAATCACAACTGGACGTAGGCAAAAGTTCTGCCGAACTAGTATAATTCTTGTGTGTTTCTAAGTTTTTCTAATATTTGCTAGTTTAGTCTATTGCCGTTGGTTACATTAAAGAACAAGATCTAGTGTGCGGGTTATTTAACAAAATTACTAATTCCAAAACCATGTAGATACACTGGATTGACTTGAAATTTTATACACATGGTTAGCAGGATTAGAGCATTAATCAACCAGAGGACTGATGAAAAAAAAAATCTGTAAATAAAATAATAATAAAAATAAAACCACTAGTTTTATATCGGTGTCAATTAACCATGCGATCTTCAATTGGAAATATATGCTATGTGTGTGCAGAGTAAATCTAAATGATAAGCCAGATGAGCATAAACCTCACGAAGAGCACTCTTGCGATCTTCAATTGGAAATATATCCACTAAACCATACGACGTCTCACATAGTGACTGCACAAAGTCCAACGACTCATGATAAGCCCCTTTACGGTATTGGGATGCTGTATTATTTGGAAGTGGGGGTTTTGCACTTGACTTTTCATTTTGTTGCTTTGGAGAACCAGGGCGTTTCTGTCAAATCAAACAGTGGACAGATTCAGTACATGAAATAAGTTATGCATCTTTTCGAGAAGAACTTCAACCACTATGAATAAAATAGATGTAACTATTGCCTATAATCCCTTCATCTTGCACATGAGCGTAGTCTAGGAGGCTATGTTGCTAGGATTAGAGATACTATCATGTCAATGCATCACTAAAATATCAGAAAATATAATATTAAACTACTAAAATAATATAATTAGCAGCTCGTCTGCTACTGAAAGTTGGGGGTGATAACTTCTCTTCCAACCAGTTCAACTAGGGAAAAAAACTCCAAAATGACCTGTACCCCTGTCGAAGTTCAGATTTGCACACCTCTACAGCTGATGCAGTATATCCATATACATTTTTAAAACTTTTAACTTAATATGGAGAGCTTAAGTTAATCTAACTCACTACTTTCTAAGCTTCCTCCCCCACGAATACATGGAGATCACCATACAGCTTTAAGTTACTCACTACCTTCTAAGCTTCCTCTCCACAATTCTGAATCATTCAAAGTTCCATGTCTTTAAATATTATCATCCCACAAAAAAGTTTCGTTAAAAGCCCTTTCCATTCCTATACTCTATCAGTCGTTTGGCTCCTGATCTAACAGAATCAACCACCTTATCAACATAATATTACTTTCTTCCAAGATCATTTTCCTTTACTTCTCATCTCATTTCTTCAAACAATAATTTTCAGCTTCTAGTCCCACATCTACTTATTGAAATCCTGCACCGAATTCCCTTTATGTGATACATTTTTAATTTGAATGTTTTTTTCTCAGGGATCAGTCTCTCATCTGAAATCTCCTTCTTACCTCGTCTTTTCTACATCAGAGTATAAATAAATATATATATATATATATATATATATTTATCATCCATATGATGCACCTTTAAAATAACCAAATACTTGTCACTCTTTTTTGACACATGTATATGTTATTATGAGGTTATATAAACACCTTAAACCATAATTGGAAAAACTTAATGATAAATATAAGAATAAACTAGGAAATCTTTATGTGTTTGCACATGTGCATATATCAAAACTACACCACATATGAACATATTTATCAAAGCCACAGTACGAGCCACGTAAATCAGTATTTACAACTTCACTCATACAGATTATGCATTTCAATCTGTCATCTCAGCCTACAACACTGCATATGAACGTATATATCAAAGCCACAGTACAACCCCCATAAATAAGTAAATACGACTTCATCATTCAAACAGGTTATGCATTTCAATCCACCATCTTAGCCTACTTATTTACGCTAACTTCTATATACCTATCCAATAAGTAAAGAAAACTCATTATCCACAACTACAAGTAGCCATAACATCTGCAACTGGAACTTATACATGAGAACGCATAATTTCAGTGGCCTTTTAGAACTGCAAAGCCAATAGCAGTGCCTATATGACCGAAACTGACAATCTAATGTTTGGTAACTTCAAGAGAATGAATTACCAAAATCAAAAAATCAAAAACTAAATTGAACAGATTATACTGGATTACATACAACATTGAAAGAAACATAAGACATTGTAGTGTAATTCAAGAATTTCAAAGTTGACAGAATCCCTCAAAAAATCATCTAAGAATTTACAACAAATCATTACTAAATATTTAGCACATGTTGCACAAAATCTAACAAAACTGCAGGAAAAGGCAGCCTCATTAATAATTTAATTAATTATGTAGTTGGGGAAAGAGCCGGCACTGCATAACAAAGGCCATACTTCCACTACCAGCGAAGCAACAGATAGATAAGTAGATGCAAGCTTACCTCTTTGTGTTTTTTTGAACCAAATAGCTCCGAATCTTCAACGGAACGGTCACGATCTCTAAACAATTTGCGGAAAAAATTCTCAGTCCCTGGACTACTTTCTAACAAGCCACCATTATTGCTGTTTTCAGTGGCAGCAGTACTTTTCGCATCTTCAGGGTGCACACGGAACAATCTTCGGAACAATGAAAAGTCAGAAGGCTCTTCTTCCTCACCATTGGCACTCCCTTCCTCAGTTTTATCATTCCCATCTTTCTTGTCGTCAAACTTATCCCTGAAGAGTTTTCGGAAGAAACCCTCTTTTTCATCATCTTCAGCTGATCTTGAACATCTTTCTTCAGAGTACGGTGCATCCTCATCTACATTCTTATCAATTCGATCTTTTTTGTCCTCAAACTTATCTTTGAAAAACTTCCGAAAGAACCCATCTTTTTCTTCATCTTCCACTGATTTAGAAATTGATTTATCGTCAGAATCACTTTTACTATCACGAAACAATCTCTTAAAAAATCCATCTGAGCTCGATGTCAATTCCTCATCATCACCTCTACTATCCCTTAATAGCCTCTTAAAGAACCCATCCTTTTCTGCATCATCATTGTCCTTCTCTGACGACTTCCTGAAAAGCAAAGAATCTCTAATCTTAGAACCCATCTCCTCATCACCTCTACTGTCCCTTAAAAGCCTCTTAAAGAACCCATCTTTTTCAGAGTCATCCTCATCTTTCTCCACCGACTTCCTAAAGAGCAATGCATCTCGAACCTTTGGCCCTGGTATGAATTTTTTAAATATTTTGTTCTCATCAGGAGAGAACAGACCACCATCCTCTTGCAGATTGTTCCCTGATGAAGGCGAGAAAGAAAAAGACCTCTGAGCAGGTGGGGAAGACGTTAGTGACAACAACTTCTGTTTTGATGACAATATTTTATTCAATACCTGGTTCTTGCTCCCAGGGCTGGCCGACTCACTTTGAGGACGTATCAAAGGCGGCCACTCACCCATCAAAGTGGCCGCAATCTGACACTTCTCTTGAATCCTACTAATTCCTTCATTATCATCAGAGTCTTCAAGCTCCGCCAATAAAAACCAATGCACCTTCAGGGCTATCTTAAGCGACTTAGAGCACATATCAATCACAAACTTATCCAAAGACGGGCTAGGCTTGTGCACTGTCATATAACATATTTGAAACAAGTAGCTCTCGATACCCGATAAGGGAAGAGTGTACATTCGATTACAAAGGTAGTCACGTACCCCCGAGTGCTCATGCTTGTATAGGTAGCTAACAGCGATCCACTCGCAGAAAAATGCTGAGTCAAAGAACCGAATGAGCCACCCATTCTCACCAGTGTCACTTGACAGGTTGCTGCGGGAGGTGATCTCTCGAGGCGAATCTCCCTGAGCTTTGGAGAATCCAAGGCGGAACTTTAAAATGGGGCCATCCATTCACATTCACTTTAAATTTAATTTTCTGGTAATTACCTGCAAAAATTCAAGCAAAACAGTTTCAAACTACAAACCTAGAAGAAGCAATGAGGTCAGATTATTAAATTGAATTTCCTCAACTGATAACCTCCACATTATACCTACTAATTTACAAAAATTAATTTACTGTGTACTATCATTCGAATTAAGGCGTGAAATTAGTACTGTTTATGATTCTTTAAAAAGAAAAGAAATTGGTACTATATATAATGGTATAATAATCCAATTCAATCTGCTACTTAATACTTAATTGGTGAGTTGCCTAATTCGCTCATCCCCTCCGAATTTCGATCTGGATCAAGCGTACGGTATCGATCTGGAAAGAAAGATTTAACGAATCAGATTTCTCGATGAGAGAACAGTACCTGGATGATCAACGTCGCTGCCAAAACTCCGGTCGTTCCAAGTGCAATCTGGTCACCACCGCCGAGAGCAGACAAGCAATAGAGGGAGAGTGCAGCGAAAAAGGATATCGGTGGAGAGAGCCATGGACAGAGCAGACGAGCAATAGAGGGAGAGGGAGAGGGAGAGGGAGGGGGAGAGTGCGATAGCTGAGCCCACGTTTAATTCTTGCGTGTACGATCTTTGGCAACGTAGGAGGTGGAGCGATAAATGGAGAGGCACAAGGGGGAAGATATTGGGTTCGAAGAGCTTGGGTGGGTCGTTCAACATAAAAACAGCACCCGCCCAACCAAGGGATTAAAAATGAGGCTGTGAGCACGGCCTACATTAAAACGTCACTCACACTCCCTATCTATCTTTTACTCAAACAAATCCTAATTATTTAAAATTCTGGCCGTTTGATATCTTTTTCAATCTTTAGTTTTTAATTTTTTAATTTTAATTTCTAAAAAATAAAACTTGTTTGGTAACTAAATTTCAGTTCAAAAAAAAAAGTGATAACTAAAAGTGCATATTACAAAGAGTTCATATAATTTTTTGATGATTTTTTTGAAATTAGGATGATTTTTTTTTTTTTTTTGTGAATTTTGGATTTGGAAGTTCCCAAGCTTGAATTGAGTATGTCACCGAACACAAGAATGGAGCGATCGAATCCAAATCGGAAGGTCCCAAATATGAGTTTTTGTAACTATAGTACATTTCATGTGTGAAGATGTAAAAATAATGAATGAAAAACGAGCGCAAACAAAGTGAAAACAGAACTATGTTTTCAGTTTTCGAAAAAAATGAAAATGGAAAGTGAAAACTATAAAACTAAAAATAAAATGGTTATCACACAACCCCTATTTGGGGGGGGGGGGGGGGGGGGGGGGGGGGGTTAGAATAATTAGAGTTTGTCCGAGTAGGATAGTAGTTTTTATAAAAACTAGCCAAAATTACCCCTTACTTTCATAAATGTCAATTTTTATAAAACTTTTGAAAATAACTCAAAACTCACATAAATAGACTTTAATGCCCTTAAAAGTAAAACTCGAATAAATAAATAAAAGAGAGTGAGAGAGAGAGAGAGAGAGAGAGAGAGAGAGAGAGAGAGACTAATTCTTTGAGCAACAGTGGAGTTCAAGGGGCTCTCATGCAATAACTAAGAAAACAAGGCTAAGTTGGAACCAAAGACATAATTGAGAAGAGGAAGGCTATGGATGCACTGATAAAAGTAGCTTATGCCGAAAAGCACCATCTTTCTGCTTTCCTTGCCTTTAACCATTACCAAACAAGCGGCCTATCTGCATTCTTAGAATCCGAAGCGGGGACAAAATTTCCTCTTCTCTTAAGCAATACGTATAAAATCTCCTTAAGGCCTATATGAAGGGGTTGTATAGACCTGAGTGGCTAGTGGAAGAGAAGGTGAAGTGCAAGGCAAGTTCAAGTGAATTCTTAACATATGAAAGAGAAAATATTGTAGCTAATTGGGTAGAGAAGAGGGGGCCCATAGTTGGGTTTGTGCATTTTCACTTTGTCACAGAGGAAGAATTGCATGCTCTTTATGTGTATATAAATTGCAACTCGAGCCTCACATATAAAGGAAATGTCAAAATTACAAGAGGAAGCCTTTAGGGAACGCATGCCCAAGAGGTCAAAATAGAAGGAATTTACTTACAAATAATGAGATCCTATTCTCCCACAAACATGAGGGATTGAGATCATGTCCTAGACTAGCAACAAAATCCGCAATGAAATTGGCCTCCTTGAAAAACATGATGAAATTAGACCTCTTCACAGAAAGAGCATAATAAAGCGGATATCTGAAATGAATATATGTAAGGCCCAAGGAGGCTCCACCTTAGCACATAAGTAGTCAACAACTATTTTAGTGTCGCCCTCAACCTGAATCTTTCGCTAACCTTTGTTCAGTGCAAAAGCTAGGTTGTCACGAAGAGCAAGACATTTCGCCACATTTATGAAAATTTTGCCAACCTTTTTATAAGCATACTGATCAGTGCATATTACATATCATTTTATACCTTTCTAGCTTATGATTTTGTTATGTTTTTGAGTTAAACTTGTGCTTTTAATCTATTTTATGTTTGTTTCAGTGTTTTAGGCTTTAGGACTCATTTAATGCGTTTTGGAGTTAAGTTAGCTCAAAACTGTGTCTGCAGATCAGTCAACTTCATGGATTGGATTGTACGTGCCTAGGAAGAACCAGCTAATGGGCCATACACCAATGGAAAGATGTGGAAGTTTATTTTCTGTAGCATTTGGATTTTGGGGCACCTTCGAATATTTGAAATTTGGATTTTGAGAATATTATCTTTATTATATATTAGTTTATGAAAGTTGATTTTGGATCTTGGTGATGACACGCTATCTCATGTACACCCCCCTTGGATACTGATACTGGAATTGATGGATAATGGATACTTGGGATCTGTGGTTATTATTTGGATATGTCAGAACCCAAGCACCCTTAACGGGGTGTTTCGTAGATCTTTAGAGGGGTAGTCTGCGTGCATAGGACTCGTCACAGGCTCACGAGTATTGAGAATTCTGCTGTGTGTGCTGGGAGCCCCATCCCCCGGTTGGACAACTCGTCCTTAACCACAGGGTTGTTGAGGATTCCTCCGTTTGGTTCAGCCAAACGATCTACGGTGGGATTTTTTCCCCGGTACATGATGTGCATAATGTGCACTATGATATGTACCTCCCTAGCACTTGGATATTTGGATATACAGGAACCCGAGCACCCTTGACGGGGTATTTTGTAGACCCTTAACGTGGTAGTATGTACGCGTAGGACTTGTCACAGGCGCACGAGTATTAAGGATTCTACTGTGCATGTCGGGAGCCCAGTCCTCCGATTGGACGGCTCGTCCCTGGCCACACGGTTGTTGAGGGTTCCTCCATGTGGCCTAGTCAAAAGATCCCTGGGTTGGATTGTTTTCCCTTGGTACATGATGATGGTGTGAGGTATATATATACATACATATTAAATATATACATATATATGTGTGGATTCGTTTTCGGGTTGAGATTCTTTAACTTGTGCTTCGTGAGTGCTCTACACAGGTATGAACGTTTGATTTATGGTTTGGAAAGGGTTGTTCCGCAACATACGTCTTGGATAAGGTATGGTTGTGGGAAAGAACTGATAAAGGGAAAAGAACTTATAAAGTGTTCAATGTGTGCCTTGTCGAATTTGATGTTGTAAATGAATGTAAATTTAATTGTTTGTATTACTTTATTCTAAATCGTGATTGTTTACTTAAGAACTATGTGTGGCTTAATCCCTCACAAAGAGGTACGTAGGTAGGTTGGGGTTTAATTTTGGTATAACTGCAAAATAAACTGTTTGAGCTCTGCTTGTATTATTCTAAGTGTGGAAATGAATTTTGGAAGAAGAAAGGTCTTCTCTGATTACTGTTACAATATGTGTTACAGATGTATGGATTTATAAATGAGTTCAAAAGAAAGAACATTTTGTTTGTTGTGTGTAACGTGCTTTGTGCATGCCGAAGTTTGGTGATTATTAAACTGCATTTTTTACAGGTTGAAAAATTTGGTAAAGTTCATTTTTCAATGGAGACTGCCAAAATTTCGGTAGAAGTCTCGGCCCTCTTTTCCTTTGTTTTAGGGGAAAGGGATATTTGAAATTAGTAAGTGGGCCCGGCATAAGTAAGATGTAGGAAAAACCACAGGATCCATCACGAATTCCGAGGAATTCGGGGCAAGCCCTGTCATTAGGAGTATGTAAGCACATTGTACCCACGGTTAGGGTTATGTTTTGTTATTCCAATTTTATCAATAAACCTTGCGGTTTCCTCATATCTTACTTGTGGATTCCGAAGTTACATGTTTTAGGCAAAAGTCTAGACAATCAATTGTCACACTACGTCATGCAATGCCTAAGGGTCCTGCAATTTCATATATCATGTTTGACAATTGCATATGAGTTGAAATGTTATTTTCTCATTGAATTTGTTTGATATAATTTGGCAATTTGCATATGAGTTGACATATTATTTTCAATTGAGTTTATTTGATATGACAAAATGTTTCTCTTATTTAATGCAGGTTCATCATTAATTGGAATTATAAATTGGTGGGAAAAGTGATGGCATAATAAGGGTAAAGAGCAAAAAACAACAAAAGACCTGTCAAAAACGGTGATTGGTTTCAAGACCGGTTATTTTAACTACATGTAAGTGTTAAACATCTTTTCCAGTATATTAAGTATTTTTTATAGAACTAACTAAATGTGAATATTTTAAATTGGAAATTCAAGGGCAATGAAATGAAGCAATACAAATTAGTGGAGAAGGTGGATACTAAGATAATAAATTGGTAAGAATACATTTAAATAGAGATGTTACAACTCACAACTTATAATGATTTGATTGAATTATATTTTTTTTCTTCATTAAATAAATAAGGAAATCGCTGATATGTGGCAACAGTTGGATGCTACTCAGAAAGCCGAGTATGAACCTAAAAACCTTCTACAAATGCCTTGAACAAGAGTTATTTGAAGATATCCACATGATGCAGTCCGAAGGATGTAAATGACACTATAGATGTTTTAAGTGATAATAAAAAATAACCATTCAAGAATTGAAGTACGGAAAACTCGTATTCAATATGTCATTTTTTGGTTGATAAACTCAATCATTCTAAATCATCAATCGTGCTACATGAGAAAACATTTAAGATATCTATGGATGCCTTCATACTCATAATGGATGTTAAGGATGGAAGAGAGGAAGATAACTTCATAGGATCCATGGATGAGCAACACATTGTAAATGTGCAAAATTCTTTTTTGGTTAGAAAGAAGCCTTTAAAGAATAATTAGTTGAAGTATATAACGGTGGGGACAAAAGAAGCATGTGACTTTTTCAAAGTTGGTTTTGCCATGTTTGCTCTATGTACGCTGCTGTTTGGGCCAAAAATTGACACATCCAGCCCAAGGCTCATCAGAACAAAACAAGGCTGACTTGGGCCTCACAGGCCCAAACATAATAGGAAGAGGGAGTCCAGAAGAGGGAACAATCCCACATGGCAACCTCTGGGATAAAAAGTCAGCAATGGCGGAAGTCAGCAGGGATTAAAAAGTCAGCAATGGCAGCCTCTGGGATGGAAAGTCAGCAATGGCAACTGCCATAGAAGAAGTGATTGAAGGGTTCGTGACATCAAGAAGAACTGAAGATTAAACCCCCTTATATATGTATATTCAGAGATTTTTCTTCTGTCCTTTCAGAGAAGGTAATTCTCCCAAGGAGATAAGCAAGTTACAAT